ATTTCTCTCGTTTTAAATTATTTGTTTTAAATTATTAGAGTGTTTATTCTTTTACATTAATGGTTGCAACTGTAACAACTGCAATTTCCCCCTGGGATCAATAAAGTATTCTGATTCTGATTCTGATATGTACATTTTTTAATGAGCCACGATGTGTCTAATATGAAAAACAAAGGTTTTGTGAGACGACTAACAACAAGATGGAGTTGCGACAAGGTTCATTTATGGAACCGCGTCAGCGTCTTATAAAACATGTTTTCTTACATTGCCAAACAGAGTCGGTATGACCAACACAAGATTAAATACTGTGGAAAAGTATGTAATAATCATCTGATACTTACCTGTATGATCTTCTTTTAAATAGCAAAATAACTGAAGACAATGTGCCATGTGTGGTTTCTCAGACATTTGCTTAGCATAAATAGTTCAATGGTGTTTACATTATTCAGTGACAATCTAAACCCACTCATGAATCTCCAAGAGTTAACTGAGCTGGACAAAGGGGGCTTCTTCATGCCTAATCAGCTTTACTGATTTAGGTTTATTGTTTAACTAAAGAAAAATTAGCAGAACAAAGTGAGGCAAAGTAGCACACATTCAAATAACTGGTAATCCAGGAAAAATCCAAACTGTACTCTGTCCATTTATTTACTGTCTTTGGACAATAAAAGGCATATTCATGTTATGCAACAGCTTGTAGCAGAAAAGTGAAGGAAAGCTGGACTTTGTTTGCCTTCCAGACATTTAATGTAGTTATGATAGAACTTAAGTTTGGGGGAGGAACATGGCTGAAACCCCTCCTTCTGATCTAAGGCCCTATACATTCACATCCTCACCTTTGTTCCAGTGAAGAAGTGATTGCAATCCCCACCAGCACCCCATCTCCTTCCTGTTCCTCAGTCCTGCATCAGTCCTACTACAGCTATGAGGGCGGGGGGTCTGGCCTTCTAGCTACAGGCAGAAGCTGCCAAGAACTCCAGCCCAAGTTCTCAGAATTCTCCCCCCTCTGTTATTACAGTTAGAAGACTGCTTATATCATACACATAAACTGTTGGTAATTTAAATGTACAGCAAAAGCTTAATAATTACTTAAATCTAAAGTCTAACAGCGAGTATTTTCAAAGTAGCCTGTTAGCTAGCTATGACCTATGTGCCACACAACACAGGCTTGATTCCAACTTACTGGTGCTCTGCAGACACACAATAACAACTCATGTCTGAGAGAGCAAAATCGAGTGACTGTTGTTGGAGTAACAGAAAGCTGATATTGACAGTGTTCTTTGGTGTGTGATGAAAAGATTATTTTGGGGTTTTCAACAGTACTTTACATGGAAATTTCATGGATGTTCTTCACCCTCAGTAGTGGAGGGTTATAGCACTGTACAATTGTTTCATTTAGTCCAGCTGATAATTACATAATGAGTGGAATCAGTTTTGAAAGCATTTAACTGGGATTGTAATATATATTCATTTAGTGTGTTAAACTCTATTTACTTGAGATTATCACACTTTATTTCACACATTCTGAAGTGCTACTCCTGTTAATCTCAGTATTTTTTTAACACAGTGGACTCTCTGATCCTCTCTTTCAGGTTATGAGGACATGTGGAACCCAGCAGTTATGCTGAAGATGAGGACAGTGTCGTAACTGGCCATGGGTCTGATCCTGTAAATAACTGGGCTGATTATGCCTGTAAGGTTTAGTTAATTGGGATTTATGAGATTAGTTTTTAACTGACAGTGTATTAAAATGAATAGCAGGAATTTCAGCAGTTTGTTTGGATCTGTAAGAGAATATTTTGCTGAATGGTCACCAGCATGTGAGTGAATAACATTTACAAATGACCAAGATGGCAGTGCAATGACAAACACTAAATGGTGCTATTTCTGTTTTATTACATTAAGTTTCATGTTCTTTCCAACGCAAGTACATGGAAACCACCAGAGCTTTTGTTTACCACCACCAGACCCTGCTACAGATAAGGAAACAGACAGAAACCAACCTTGAAGATGACCTGCTGCAGAAGCTACGTAAGCTCAGTTTGCTAAGAGAATAAAGCTCATGGGGGTCTGCTCGCACCCGGCAGTCCTTGCATTTCCTGATGAGGGAGGCTGGGGGAGGGTCCACCGAAAGTGCTGCATGAGGAGGCAGAAGCATGGGAAGGGGTCCATGCTAGGCTAAAAGCTAACCTTAGCCAGCCTGCTCTAGCGTCCATCTTGCTCGCTAATGTTTGCTCACTGGACATTAAACTGGACTACCCAGCAAGAGTTCAGTTTTTCGTTTTTGGTTTATACTGAAACGTGGCAACAGCATTGCCGATGGTGCCATTCAGGCTGGCTTTGTTTCATGCCGACAGAAGTGCAGCTCAGATGGGAAAAACCAACCACCCACCATCTTTACTACCTTCTACAGAGGTACTATAGAGAGCATCCTGAGTAGCTGTATTACTGCCTGGTTTGGGAATTGCACCGCCTCCGACCGCAAGACCCTCCAGCGAATAATGAGGACAGCTGAAAAGAAAGGACTGGAAAATCCCAGCAAGCATCTTGTCTTAATTTGTCTGTGGGCTGAAAAGCCGAGTGGTTTTTGCGTTGTGTATAAATAATAATAAAAAGCTCTCCGTCTTCACACCTGCCCCCGGCGTCCTTCCTCCACCCATCATCAAGTTGTTACAGGCACTAATTACATAACCCAGGAAAGAGACTGTCTGTAAATGGAATTCACACTTCTCTCCTTTTACAAGCAGTTGATTCTCTAATAACCTTTGAAGTACTTGCAGAACGTGAGTGTCTAAATCAGGGGAAAATGCCAGGATGTCATCTATATAAGCTATAACAAACTTACCTATCATGTCACGTAGAATGTCATTTATAAAGGATTGTAAGACAGAGGGGGCATTACAGAGCCCAGGTGGCATGATGAGGTACTCATGGTGACCTCTAGAGGTCACAAAGGCGGTCTTCCATTCATCTCCTTCTCTGATTCTGATCAAATTGTAGGTACTACATAGGTCTAGCTTGGTAAAGTAATGGGCTCCTCTGAGCTGCTGAAGGGTGACAGGAATAAGCGAATAAGGGCTCTGTAATCTATACCATTCCACCATCTTTCTTCTTAACGAGGAAAAAAACAGAGGCTGAAGGAGATGTGTAGGGTCAGATAAAGCCTTAAGCTAATGCTTCATTAACGTGTTCTTCCATGGGTTTCTCTTCTTCCAGAGTAAGGGGGTACACTCAGGATTTCGGAAGAGTAGCGCCCCCTAAATAAGGTCTATAGCACAGTCATAAGTGTGGTGTGGTGGCAATCTAGTAGCGTTGACCTTGCTAAATACCTCTGACAGATCTGAGTAAATGTCTTGAATCTGAATAGCATTAACAGTATCAAGACTTTCTATAGAAGTGGAGTCAATTGTAATGGCAGACAAAGCTAGACAGATATTTGTACAGTAGTCGGACCAGACAGTGATTTCTTTATCAGACCAAGAGATTTGTGGATTATGTTTGTCTAACTAGGGAAGACCTAGAACGGTACAAAAGTCAACTGGTTCTCCATCCAGTGCCAACACTCGCGTGGGGCTTGTAGAGGTTCCACAGGAATCTGCAGCTGGGATGCCACCTTGGCGTGGATGAAATTTCCCCTGGTTCGGTCAAGGGTGGCAAGACAAGAGAAGAGTTCTGGCAGTGTCACTTTGCATATCACTTTAACAATTGACCAGTGTATACCTTTTATGTGTAGTAGGTTTAGAGCACTGATAAATATGTATCCTGAAGGTGTTTTCTTTTCATACAATTTTGCTTGTGTCTTTTAGCGCGTGTTGTTTTTAGGTAACATAAGTTAAAACTGTCTATTACAAAACATACATCAATGTCCTAGTTGTTCTGTCCTTGGTCTTGAAAGTTTAAAGGAATAACCTAAACCTATTATATGTTAGAATTAAACATTTTTGTCTTCTTTCTTTTCCCTCATTTTAAGATCTAACTAAAACAAAGGGAGGTGTGATTCTTGGGAGGTGCTCATAGATCAGGCCCCACCAATCAGAGTTCAAAACAATGAATAGCTAATTAGCCATTAGGTGAGAAAAATCCATCAGCGCTCTGCCTCCACCTCCAAAGGGCCTACAGCTAAACAAACCAGAGTGCATACGATTTTCAGTAGAAATTTTCAGATCTGGAGCCTTTGTGTCTCTTTGTCACTTTTGTCAGTTTGTGTACACTGTTAGTTTAAACCACCCTTAGAGAAGGAAAGGGAAGGCTAAGTGAAAGACGTCAAAGACTGCAAATATCGACTCCAAAGAGAAGTAGTTAGTAAAGGTAGTGCAACCAGCCTCGAAACCCTGACTACAACCTGAGCCAGCTAAGCAAGGAGTCCGAGCAGTTCTGTGGATACAAAGAGGATCGCACCCAGAGCAAGGCCTCAATCTGCAAGCAAATTGACCATCAAAAGACTTTCCAAGCTTCATCCTCGAACAGCCTTGAGGTGTCTGTGCCTAGTAGCTGACTACCCACTGTCTAAGGTCACGTTTGCCCATACGGCTAATGCGACAGAGCCTCCACCACCAGCAAAGCGAGCGCCCGGCACATAAGCCCACAGCCGGTCCTCAGACGACCCCTCCTGGAGGATTTCAAGTCTGCTTCTCGACTCCAAAGTAAGCCGGTTCACCTCATATGCACTCAGGGCTTCGATGCTAACTTATTTATTAAGAAAATCTTCCATAGATATATCTACCCATATAGCCATACACGTCCATACTTAGGTTAATTCTTTTGAAGTTTTGAAGTGCCTTCCCAGGCGGTGCCCCAAACTACACTGTCTCATACTATTTAGCTGTGAATCACGGTACTTGGAGAATTACTGAATAACACAGAGCACTGTAACAAAAAATCCACCACATTTCTTTGAATCTGCCTTGACAGATCTTGAATCTGGCAAGACAGATCTTTAACACCGGTGATAAGCTGAGCCAGTTGAGATTGTTGCTCACCCTGTTGTGATTTTAACTCACCGATTGACTGAGTAAATCCAGTGAGGAATTGGTGATGTTGTCGCAGGAGCTGGCCCTGAGTGTTAACAGCCTGTTGGACAACCTTTGGGTCTGTCATCTGCATGATGGAAAAGTATTCTGTAAGGCTCGGACAGAATTCCGACACTTCAAATCAAATCAAATCATGTTTATTATACAGGTGAGTGAAAACCTTAGGTACGTAGCCCCCTTGTAGTACTTAAATACAAAAATATTAGATATACACCAGTACTGCACTGTTCCCAAAGTACAGTAATCAAGTTCTGAAATAAAACTATGATATGTACAGTTGTACACATTTCCGTATGTGCAATTAGTGAGTTTGAGGTAGATAAATAAATGAGATGCAGGGCACACAGGGGATAGATTATAGATATAGAAATCTTCCAGATTATATAACCCCATTTCCAAGAAAGTTGGGATGCCGTGCAAAATATAAATAAAAATAAAATGCAATGATGTGCAAATATTTTTCGAACCCTATATGTGGTTGAAAATAGTACAAAGACAACTAGAAACTTTTTAAAGAAATTTGATTGTTTTTTGAAATATATATGCCTATTTTGAATTTGATGCCAACAACATGTTCCAAAAAAGTTGGGGGCAACAAAATGCTGGTAAAGATGTGTAATGCTAAAAAAAAAACACCTGGTGGTTGATTGAAAACAGGTCAATAACATGATTGGGTATAAAAAGCATCCCAGAGAGTCTTTCAGAAATAAAGATAGGGAGGAGTTCTCCACTCTTACACTTACTTGTACACTGTTCCAGTAGATAAGAGGTCCAGTAGATAAACACATACCTCCTTGCTGCTTACTTGTACACAGTTCCAGTAGATAAGCGGTTGTTTTCTGTGTCTTTGAACAACATGCTCCACATTTTCTACAAACTGTGCAAAGCGCATGGCTTTAATTCCTACCTACTTTAATTCCTAATTCCATCTTGCTTTGAACCGGTGTTGGTAGGCTACTGATGATATTTTTCCTTAAAGGGGCTTGGGGGCAAGAATCAGCTTCAGAATCCTGCCCCGTGTGCTGCAGCCATTTTCTTTTCATCTGAAAATCATAAGCTTGTCCATTATCTTTGTCCTTGAGTTGCTGTTCTATTATGACATCCGGATTCACTCTTGTGGGATGTCTTCACCTTAGCTCCGCCCACATGGTGTTGCGATGTATGTTGAAGGGATTTCCATCTCCTTTCTGAGTTCTCACATGCATAGTCATTCCTGCACCAATCAACACTTCTTCCATTGTACTTTTGCCCAGTAGCCTGCCCAGCAAGGCCTTTATATCCCCTACTGCCAATATCACTGCTATGATTTCATCCTCAAATGCAGTAATCCATGGCCCAGCCCCATCATGTATTAGAAGCAATCATTGTATTAAACCATCTAAATCCATACACCACATGGTACAGAGTTCATTTGATTGTCTTTGACAAACAAAGTAGCTTGATATGCTGCCTTCTTTCCACTTCTGAAGGTCATGCAGGAAGGGTGGAGAGTAATCTACCCTCCTCTCCTCTCGCTTCCTTTTCTTCCAAATACATCTGCCTCAAAAGCTCCTCTCCACTGCTGGAAATTTCTTGTGCCATTTTCTCCATTTCCCTTAGTACTCTTTCCTTCTGTATTGCATTCTTTTGGGATGTTTATTCACGCTCTTCCCCTGCACACACTGCTCACCCTCTGTTTCTGTTCATCTTAACAGCTCCTGTATCTCCTCACTAAATCCTGACTTGTGCTTGCTGGGGCATACATCCTCCTCCCCCAAGTGCTTCCTGCTTTTCATGGTCTCCAGGTCAGCCATTGGATACAGCAGGGATTCTGACTGTCTCTCCTTTGTCATTTCATGATCTCTCATTATAATTACTTTTGTAACAGGCATCTGAGTATATGGGAGAAGGGCTAGAGCCACTTGATCAGTGTTTTCCTCTTTCTCTCTAAACACTTTTATCACTAGCACTTATCTGCCCTGGGTTTTCCCTTTTCACCAACTTTGTGTTTTTTAATTAGCACCTCCATCTCTTTGCACTAGTCCACATCAAATGACCACTCAACAGGCCTATTGGTCTATTATGCCACATTTCAGAACATTTTTGAATAAGTTCTATTAATAAAGGATGTTTCTCTATCATAAATTCTACAGGAGTTTTACTTGCCATCATTGTGTTTTCTCCTCTTTTTTCCCCCACTTTTAATTTTTTATTTCTTTTTCCTTTTATTTACTTATTTATTTTCCCTGAGACACCGTGTTAATATGCCTTAGTGTGGCACCCATTTAAGAACTGAGAGTTCACCCTATACAACCTCACTTTGTTTGTCTGAGCAAATAATTCCAGAGCTTATTTTCCAGTTATTATCCGGTAGCTTTGACGCATTTATCCCTGGTCTCAACACACAAGTATTCTTTCAGGAAGAGAGCCACACTTCCCTTTTCCAGTTGTTCAGGTATGCAGGGCTCATGCACTTTTACAATACTCTTTTTATCTCTAATATGCGCCAGACTAATGCGCAATACAAAAGTGTGACGGATGCACACACCAGTGAGGCAAATATTACTGCACTTCACCTTGTCTGATTTTTTTATCTGCACCTCAGTAAACCCTCATTTATCTGTAATTTTAGACACATTTATAAAACACACAATTCACAACATCAACACATCAACACACTGCGCGCTTGTATACCATGCTATTTCATCTCATAGGTGCTACTCAGTAACTATATTTTAACAGACGTTCCAGACGTTCACAAGTACTAGTCTGTTATAAGTGAAAATATAATAATAGCTTTACAACTATATTCTGAACTTCCAGGACTTAAAACTGCCTGCAATTCCTCCCATCCACACTCATTAGGCCACAAAAACCTGGCTACAACAACCACAGCAACTCTTATAGCTACAGCACTTGTTGTCTTAAATACTGCAGTATCTGCAACTCTACCATAAGCCAAATCTATGAGTTACCTGTTCAGATCAGTATGTATTTTTCACAACAGCTACACTATATTGCCAAAAGTATTTGCTCGTCTGCCTCCACACGCATATGAAATTGAGTGTTATCCCATTCTTAATCCATAGGGTTTAAAATGATCTCGGCCCACACTTTGCAGCTATAACAGCTTCAACTCTTCTGGCAAGGCTTTCCACAAGGTTTAGGAGTGTGGAGGGCTGTAGCGATTGACTCTGCAGAAAGTTGGTGACCTCTGCGCGCTATGCGCCTCAGCATCCTCTGACCCCGCTCTGTCATTTTACGTGACGAGTTGCTGTCATTCCCAATCGCTTCCACTTTGTTATAATACCACTGACAGTTGACTGTGGAATATTTAGTAGCGAGGAAATTTCACGACTGGTCTTGTTGCACAGGTGACATCCTATCACGGTACCACGCTGGAATTCACTGAGCTCCTGAGAGCAACACATTCTTTCACAAATGTTTGTAGAAGCAGTCTGCATGCCTAGGTGCTTGGTTTTAGATACCTGTGGCCAGGGAAGTGATTGGAACACCTGAATTCAATGATTTGGATGGGTGAGTGAATACTTTTAGGAAATATAGTGTATTTATTATCCACCCAGCTAGGACCTTTTCACATTCATACACACATTTCACATTCATACACACATTCACACATTACATACAGCAAGGAAACTTTTCACTTGGTACTTTTTAGGAAAGCCAATAAATTAATAAGATACCAGCAGCCAGAGAAACATGACTAGGCTCACTCTCACAGGGACAAAAACATAAGCAAAGTGCTTACCTTTTGTCTGGTGGCCACCTCTTTTATCTGTTCTGGGAGTGAGTCCAGCTGGCCCGGGATGCTGTCTTGAAGGTCAAATCACCTTTGCCTGGCTTTTCGTATCCTGCCAACTACACCAAAGTTCAGTGTGGTAGCAGAGTACTTAAACTTAAGTCAAATAAAACAGAGAAGTTTTCTTTACTGTTTAAATCCCTTTATTTGCCTAAAGAGATGAGGAACTCCGTTCATCTTCCTGTCCATTCCCAAACTCCCTGCCCCCTCCTGAAATGCATTCTTCTATAGCCTTTTAACCATTCAGAATTACCCAGTCACTTCTGACATCAACACCTTGCACATGGGCATCACTACCCTTCCTGAAAAAGCATCTGGACTCTTCTACAGGATAAGCCACAGGGCGTTCTGTCAGCACACATGATACTATGTATGCATTCCAGGAGGTCTTCAGGAAGACCACCGGTGCTCTACCCACTACGTAAACATTCATAGGTCACCAAGGTCACATGCAGTGGAGCACACAACATCAGCCTCTAATGATACCACTGGATACATACACCACACGCTGTAGTCAGGTTGGTGTAACTCTGACCATATCCCAAATATGCTCAAAGGGGGATAAATCAGGTGAATGCGCTTGCCAGGGAAGAAGCAGCCCATGGTGGTTATCCGGGAACTGCAGGATGTTTGCGTGACAACACAATAAAATGCCGTTGGTGATATTATTGGAACAATTGCAGTCACAAATGCCTGTGGTCAAAGGTAGCCAAAGCAATGGTGTGTAAGAAGGGCCCTGCTTCTGCTAACAGCAACAAACAGTATGAACAGACACCAGTGTTCCAGAAGGATAATCCAGCTTCTGCTTGTCTTTGGCAAACAAGGTAAGCTTGATATGCTGTCCTCTTTCCACGTCTGAAGGTCATGCAGTGGGTGGAGAGTAATCTGCCCCAACATTGCTCCTCTCTCTATCTCTTCCTTTTCTTTCAGAGACATCCGTCTCAAAAGCTCCTCTCCTCTGCTGGAAATCTCTTGTGCCATTTTCTCCATTTCCCTCAGTACTCTTTCCTTCTGTATTGCATTCCTTTGGGATGTTGATTTACGTTCATCTGATTCCCTTTGCTACTGCTTTTTTTCACTGAGTTCCTCCTACCGCCCCTTCCTCGGAATCAAGCTCTTCCCCTGCACACTGCGCACGCTCTGTTTTTTTTCCGTTTTAACAGCTCCTGTATCTCCTCACTATATCCTGACTTGTGCTTGCTGGGGTGTACGTCTTCCTCCCCCAAGTGCTTCCTGCTTTTCATGGTCTCCAGGTCAGCCACTGGATACAGCAGGGATTCTGACTGTCTCTCCTTTGTCATTTCATGATCTCTCATTATAATTACTTTTGTAACAGGCATCTGAGTATATGGGGGAAGGGCTAGAGCCACTTGATCAGTGTTTTCCTCTTTCTTCTTTCCCTCACTTGTTTTCCCATAGCTTTCTTTCCAAAGTTTCCTTCTTGTTTCAGCTTTCTTTCTAAACATTTTTATCACTAGCGCTTATCTGCCCTGGGTTTCCTTTTTCACCAACTTTGTGTTTTTTAATTAGCACCTCCATCTCTTTGCACTAGTCCACATCAAACGACCCCTCAACAGGCCTATTGTTCTATTATGCCACATTTCAGAACATTTTTGAGTAAGTTCTATTAATAAAGGATGTTTCTCTTTCATAAATTCTACAGGAGTTTTACTTGCCATCATGATTCACCTTTATTAGTACAACACAGAACAGGGTTTTCTCCTCTTTTTTCCCCCACTTTTAATTTTTTATTTCTTTTTCCTTTTATTTACTTATTTATAAATAATTCCAGAGCTTATTTTCCAGTTATTATCCTGGTCAGCTTTGATGCATTTATCCCTGGTCTCAACACACGGCTCATGAGTGGTTCATTAGTCAGTTAACATCTTATGTATGCTGGCTAACACTACATCCCTGTAGTCCCTTACAGCATTCAAAAGGCAGCAGCCTCCTCGCCCCAAGTATTCTTTCAGGAAGAGAGCCGCACTTCCCTTTTCCAGTTGTTCAGGTATGCAGGGCTCATGCACTTTTACAATACTCTTTTTATCTCTAATATGCGCCAGACTAATGCGCAATACAAAAGTGTGACGGATGCACACACCAGTGAGGCAAATATTACTGCACTTCACCTTGTCTGAATTTTTTCATCTGCACCTCAGTAAACCCTCATTTATCTGTAATTTTAGACACATTTATAAAACACACAATTTACAACATCAACACACTGCACGCTTGTATACCATGCTATTTCATCTCATAGGTGCTACTCACTAAGTATATTTTAACATTTTTGTCTGCTATTAGGAAGAAACCGTCTCTGTACTTCCAGACGATCACAAGTACTAGTCTGTTATAAATGAAAATATAATAATAGCTTTACAACTATATTCTGTACTTCCAAGACTTAAAACTGCCTGCAATTCCTCCCATCCACACTCATTAGGCAACAAAAACCTGGCTACAACAGCCACAGGGCTGGCCAATGCCCTAAAACCAGGTTTTACTGCAGTTCCATTTAACCCCTATAACTACAGCACTTGTTGTCTTAAATACTGCAGTATTGCAACTCTACCATAAGCCAAATCTATGAGTTACCTGTTCAGATCAGTATGTATTTTTCACAACAGCTATCTGTTATCCACCCAGCTAGGCCCTTTTCACATTCATACACACATTCACACATTACATACAGCAAGGAAACTTCTCACTTGGTACTTTTTAGGAAAGCCAATAAATTCATAACCTACCAGCAGCCAGAGAAACATGACTAGGCTCACTCCCACAGGGGCAAAAACATAAGCAAAGTGCTTACCTTTTGTCTGGTGGCCACCTCTTTTATCCTGTCTGGGAGTGAGTCCAGCTGGCCCGGGATGCTGTCTCAAAGGTGAAATCACCTTTTTCCTATCCTGCCGACATGAGGTGAAAAGGGGCTTATGAATGTTTAAATTAATCCAATAAATTTAATTAATCCAGTGTCCAAATCTGAAATTTCAATGGTCCTTGAAAAGCAGAAAGAGCTTAATTTCATTCTCTGAATATGCACAAATCTGAATAGCACTTATTTTAAGGCCTTTTGGCCACATGGCCCAAATAAAAATCCAAATTTAAAACTGAAAAATAAACAAATCAAACAGCTACAATGAAATGTTCATGTAACTATACATAATTTCATCACTTTAGACCAATCACAACAATTTCATAGTACAACCCCAAAAAAGTTGGGAGGAGATAATGAGGGGTTCACCACTCTGTGAAAGACTGTGCAGGCAAATAGTCCAACAATTCAAGAATAATGTTTCTCAACATAAAATAGCAAAGAACTTTTGCATTTCATCATCTACGGTACATAATAACATTAGACCTTGTCTATTTGCAAAGGACAAGGATAAAAAAAACAGTACTGGCTGGCTGTGATCTTCGGGCCCTCACGTGGCACTGCATTAAAAACGGACATGATTCTGTAGTGGAAATCACTGCATGGGCTTAGAAACACTTTTGAAAATCACTGTCTGTGAAAACAGTTCATCACTGCATCTATAAATGCTAGTTAAAACTGTAAAACACAGATAAACAAAAATAATCCAGAAACGCTGCCACCTTCTCTGGGCCTGAGCTCATTTAAGATGGACTGAGGGGAAGTGGAAAAGTGTCCCAACAAATCAACATTTGAAATTCTTTTTGGAAATCATGGACACTGTGTCCTCTGGGCTAAAGACCACTCAGCTTCTTATCAGCGTACAGTTTAAAAGCCAGTATTCATGATGTTATAGGGGTGCATTAGTGCACATGGCATGGGTGACATGCATGTCTGTGAAGGTACCATTAATGCTGAACAATATATACATGTTTTGGCAACGTATGCTGCCGCCGAGACGACGACTTTTTCAGGGAAGGCCTTGATTATTTCAGCAAGACTATGTCAAACCACATTCTGAATGTATTACAACAGCATGGCTCTGTATTAAAAGAGTCCAAGTGCTAAACTGGCCTGCCTGAAGTCCAGACCTGTCACCACTGAAAACATTTGGCACATTATGAAATCAAATATATATAACAAAGGAGACCCTGAACTGTTAAGCAGTTGAAATCCTGTGTTGACCTCTTATGCTTTAGGGTATATTTTGGTTTGTCCATCTGAATTTACATGATCAAATCTTAAGGCAAATTATTCAGTAACTGCATGAAATAAATGCAAATTTTTATTTATTTAATTTTTTTTTTTTTAAAGCTCCCTTCAAATTAACAGAAAATGTGTTTTATGATTATATACATATTGCTATATGCTTACAGTTTTACTGCTGAAAGCCAAAAATCTTTGATACTCTTTT